TGTATTATTATTATTATTATTGTTTCTAAACATTATTTGTTTTATTATTATTATTATTGTCATTTGTATTATTATTATTATTATTATCGGTAGTAATAGTACTGGAAATGGGAGAAAGATTAGCTCTCAGTCTTACCACATCGTGTAACCTGTGATGTTTGTACAGAGCAGCAGGCTGGACCCGAGTGCAGGTAATCCACAGGAGAAAGGCCCAACAAGCAGGAGTAATAGAACACACAGGTATATCACAAGCAGGAACAACATGCATGAAACAAGGAGTCAACCACGTCAGAGCGAGGGAGAGAGTTATTTATATCCAGGACACCAGGTGAGACGACTGAGACTAACGAGCAGGTAATGACAGGACACAGGTGGGTGTGATGACACTGATTATCAGCAGAGACATTCCTGACAGATTTTGTTTTCTCCACACGTTTAATAACTGCATTTAATCTTAGTAATGAAGATCATGATGACAATCTCTTTAGTCACACTGGTGATTTAGTTCTGGTGACAGTAGTGTTATATTCTAACACACCTGTGACTCTGCAGTGTGTTTAAATGGCAGTGCTATAAATATCTCCTTCAATCCTCTATTTCTACTACCGATGACTTACGTCTCTTGCTTTTCTAAATATACCAACCTTTACAGCTGTGGCTGTCATGGATGGCCTGAAAACTGACAAGTGAGAGGTTTTACACATGTAGTGCTCAGTGTGTTACAGTATTTTCCTCTTCCCTCCGTCTGTGCCAGCTAAGCCACCATGACAAATTGGACTAGGGATGAGGAAAACTTTAATTCTTCCACTGCCTGGCGACACCAACTTTGTGAAAAGTAATTACAGTGCAGACTTATTCTTGTCGTTTTATTAAGCATTTGTTAAAAGGGGTTTCTGTGTAGAATAATGTGTCACTGGTCACGAGGAAGAATGATTCGACTTCAAATATTTCCAGATGTTCTTTTGTGATTGAATGAGATTTTCTTTCATAAGACCCAAAAAACTGCATCATCTTCTCTTTAAATGGTGGAAAAAACAACTTTAGACTGAAGAAGTGCAAAAATAGACAAACAACAGTTGCTCTTCCTGCTCTCACCTCATTTTCCTTTTCTCCCACGTACATGTATGTTGTTGTGACTAACTGCATCTGCACTCTGATCCCATCAGTGTCCAATGAAGAACGTCAGCAGTGGATTAAGGCCTGCTAATTGAACAGAACGCTGTTGGCAAACAGAGAATGAAGGTGACGTGACAACAGCAACAAACCACTGTGTCAGTGACTTCATAATGACGCTGCTAACGTAGACACACAGAGACGTGTACTAACATTGACATCAACATCCCTGGATTCAACTGCAGGAGGTTTGTCAGGTATCAGCTCCATTAAATGCATTATCCAATCAAATGTGTTCTTTTAAGTACTTCAACTGGTCTAGAAATACTGCAAGCCATTGAATTCAGCCCATATGTTTTTTATTAACCCTACTTTAAACCCCCAACATGCCTCCACCCACATTTTTGCCCTACGTATAAACAGAATCTCATGATTTGCACATGAACCCTGTTTACTGCCTCAACGTCATGCTGGAAAACAACAACCACTGTCTCTGCGAGACTCCACACAGGCAGAGTGCATCTCCACTGAAAAAAAAATCTTCTCCAAAAAGCAACATGCTGTGAGCAATTTTAGCTTGCTATGACACAGACATGCTTACATCATGTGACGCTAACACGTTTTAATGTCATTTTTCTCTGGGTTTCTTGAGCTTTCTGAGCCTCCGCTTTTCACAGAGCACATGGGGCAGCACATGGCAAATGTTGAAATCAGGGATTCCATCACAAATCAAAATGGAAAGCAAGATATTTGAAACCATTACAGCTTGATATTGTGATGACAACAACATTATTACTATATTCCCCACCGTCGCACCCACTCTTTCTTTAAATCCATATGTGTCACTGACTAGAACTAGCTACTGACATTTTATGTCAGCTCAGCCAACAGTTGAAAGGAAACACTTTGAGCTTGACTTACACAAAAGTATGCTCATGTCAATATGGAAAACATATAAATAGAATCCAACACTGCATGTAACTGTCAAAATGGAATAGGTAGTAAAAAGGTACAAAACAAATGGATGCAGTAGCTGCTGGAGCTCCAACAGCACATTTAAAAAAAAAAATGTTTAATGTCAGAAAGTAAATATTTACCAAATAGGTTGCATACACAGCCTCAGTGTTGGTATATATATATATATATATATATTATTTATGTATTTTTGTTTCACTGTACTTACTATTTTTCAGACTGGTGTCTCACATGTCCTTGGATGGGATCCGGGCCAGAATTCAGATTAATATAAATTTTTATATTTTTTTTTGTCAACTGTATATACCATATTGTTGATGCTCAATAAAATGACCACCATACTATTATTACACTTTCCAGTGCACAGAACTTGTGCAGTTTGTTTATTTGATGTGTTTGAATCAATTTTTTAAAAGATTTTAGAAGACGGGCTTATATAAACCCAAACTGATGCTGCTGTATGTGCACACTGCACAAAGCTGCCAGGAGTAAAACAATGCCTGGCACTTGAACTACATCATGTGCAGGGAGAGAAGCAAACGTTAAGGTTGATTTGTGCTTTATATTTTAAAAAGCACATCCTGAAGATTCAGAGGAAAAGAAAACACAGAGAGAAGACTGAAGCAAAAGAGCCGTCCCACGAGAGCTGTGTAAAAAAGAGAGAGATAGAGGTGGATGATGGGGAAAGACACGAATAGGAAGAAGAGAGGTGTGGTGTGAGAGAGAGAGACAGAGAAAGAAAGAGAAAAAGAGAGAGACAGAGAGAATAAAAGTTTGCCTCCAGCCTCAGCACAGAGGAGGATCAAAGGTTTGTGCTCTGCATCTCAATGGACATCCAGTCACCAATACTGATGAGCCGGGGCGTATGATGCTCCATTCACAGGGTTTATATCTAATGCGTAAACAAGTGGACACTGCATGAAAAACAATAGGTGCCTTTGGACCATTTTGTTTGGCACTTTTAGGCGTCACAGGAATCAGAATACAAAGAGAATTACATAAAAGGATAAACTGACCCAAATAAAAGTACAAAGACAACAAAAACCATACCATTTTGTATTGTACAGGGCCACGCACACGCACTTTGTGTCATTTTTTTCTAATGTGACTTTGTCATAAGAATTATAAATTATGACTATTTTGAAAGGACTTTTTTATTGAAAAGCAAGGGTTTTAACCAATTTGTGTGTGAATGTCAGCCTCATCTTTGACTGTGTCTCTTCTACATAAGACCAGACAACATCAATCAAAGCACAGAAGCTGAATTACTGTAATGCTGCAAGGACTAATTTATGTATCTTGCAAATTATGTGAGAGACAAAGTCAGTTGCCCTTGGTGATATTTAAATAGAGAATTTCCTTAGAAAATCACTAAAGGACTAAAATTCATTTCTAAAGGCGCAGTAAAAAATAATAATAATAACAAAAATCCAAGTGTGTGTTCATCTACAGGTAAAAGGATGGGATTGTCTGCCAAGAGAAAACAAACCAACAGGTGGCAGTAATGCAACTCCAGGGATGCAGAGCTTCTGTTTCACACTGTGATTGCACACGGAGACAAACACACACACACACACACTCTCTCCTACAAGAGATAACATTTTCCAAAGAACTCCACACCACAGCGGTGACATAAAATCTCACAGAGTACTGTTCCCCAGTTATACCTGCTGCTCATAGTATCATGTCAAAACGGTATTTTTAAACCATTCATCTGTTGGTACAACAGCCAACAAGGAAAAATAGGAAATGATAGTCCTTGTGACTTGACACCTGTCAAGATGATAAATAACCTATAATTCAGCCACATTTGTTGTTTTAGGACTGTGCTATCCACTAGTAACAGACACACGTATAAACTGTGAAAGCTGAACCAAGGAAATAACACAGGTATCAGAAAATATCAGAAAATAAAATTAAAAGGTGCAGAACAAACATTAAAAATGGTAAATAGAACGTTAGACTAAAATCAATATCATACAGAATGATAGTGAGGCACAGCTGTGACCTTTGGAGGTAACATGGCTACTAGCAACACATGCTATTGTTAACCAAGAAGGCTGACTGACTAGATTTGATAATAATCACAAAGAAAATACATAAATGTTTGAAGGAACATCTGTTTTCCATGGATGAAGCGCTGTGCTCACAGTACAATGCCCCCCCCCCTCCCCAAGGACGTAAATGATTGTTTTGTCTGGCAATTAATCTGGATTAATTCTTCCCAGTACGTGAAGTTATAAATGTTTTTTACTCTGGGTTGGCAGCTCTATATTTATCTTTTTTAAGCCTATTTCTTTTTCTTTTATTTATAGTGGGAGTCATATGTAAAAATGAGACAATCATCACCACAGACATCAACCTGGTCGCTCTGTTCTCTGACGTCGCAGTTCGCACACAGCATATATGCACTTTTTAGGCGCTATTATATAAACTGCACATCATTAAATAAATAAGACTCTGCAGTTCAACCTGGTCTACAAAGTCATATCTTCCTCAGCTGTGAATTATTTACGTAGCAGATGAATCTAACATGAACTGTCAGAAGAGTGGTGCAACTTCACCAGAAGGAATGCAGCATTTTTTGTTACATTTTGTTTCCTGTACAAAATAAATACAGTCTTCCCCACGTTGAATTCATTCAGCATTGGGGATCTTTGTCTGTTCGACTGAGGAGTGAAGTTTAGCTGACAGCTGCATTGACGGCAGAATGTTTTAAACCGTGTGATTTACGTAGCGTCCGGGGGGCTTCTACAGTATAAACCTAGACATCAAGTCTGCTGCACCTCTTTGAAAATCCTCTTATTTCAATGCTTTGTGTTCCAGTTAGATTAGTGTCTAGATGAAGCTGAAATTCATGTCTCCTTAAGAGATAATTCCCCCCCCCCCCCCCCCAAAAAAAAAAATCCCTTAACACTGTTAGTAAAGACTGTGGCAGTACCTCTCATTAGTGTGTGTTTTTTCATCACAGATGGATGTTTATTCTCTGATGATACACCCATGGCCTCCAGTGGGATGCTGTCCCTTTAACTTGAAAGCCTATTAATTTTCTGCAATTATCCTTTGCAAGTGTGACATTTGTCAGAAGTATCTGCAATTCCCGAGTGGAGAGAAATGCTCCATTGGTAAAGGTTGAATGCAACATTCACAATTTATTGCACAGAGCAGAGCTTGTACAGGTCAAATGTCTCATCACAGGTATAAAAAAGAATCACGTTTCTGCCCAAACACTTTTGACTTTGAGGTGCCCAGTAGCTGTTTTGTCCAACAGCTTGCATACAAAAAGAAAGTAAAAAAAAAAAAAGTCACTGTGTGATTACATCTAAGGGTAAAACCAAACGCACAAGTTAAGACAAATGTAAACTAGCTGGTCTGATCACGTTGTCCTTTGAAGTGTGCTGTTCTGTAAAATAGGGCGACATTTCTGTTATTCCCTTGGTGCATTCAAAGTCTTTAAAGTGTAGTGCAAATTTCGGAAAGAAGAGGAAGAACATAACAGAAAAGAAACTAAAAACCTAGGGGGGCCATAAGGCAACAATTATAAATATATCAAAAATAGTCAACAGGGAACTATCTTTGTTACAAAAACGGTACAAAAGTTTTGTCCTGAACCACTGAAATGGACATATTTTTCAGTTCCTCAGCTGATTTCACAGCTTTGTATCCCAGCTGCTGTAGTACTTTGTGACATACCATCTGTGTGTGCTCAACCATGTCATATGACAGTTTAAGACGCCAGCTCTCTGCATTGGCTGCTGAATCTCTCACCGTACCAAACTTATGTTTGGCCGAGGGCTCGTTGCTACCCCGAGTGTTTGCATGAATCCAGTCTTCCACGTTTTTATCCATGGGGAGTCCCAGATAGTCATAGATCTCCTTGGTCTTGAGGAGAGGATTTTTAGCCAAATCCTCGTAACGAACCAACATGTATTTCCCTTTCAGCCAATAGGGATGGCTGAGACCAGTGGAGACTGAGCTTAGAAAGTCATCACAGACGATGGTGAGCTGGCTCAGATCTAGATTGTAGGGCCTTCTCCCCGTTGCCCTCCATATACGCCACAGGCGATATGTATCCCTGAATGTCTCAATCCGTGAGGACAGGATACCACGAGGGTCTCTGACCAGCTGAATGACTTTAATATTTAAACGTGGGTCTTCCACAAGAGCTCGGAGATCTCCAATCTCAGGCACGCGGACTATTTTGAGTGCCACGTGCCTCTTCTCATGACATGCCTCCGTCGCTAAGGTCATGTTAAGAGCAGCACATTTCTTCACACAGTCACCTTCATCCACGTTGACATCAGATGGGCCAAAGGCGTCACACACAGGTTGCTGGCACAATGCTCTGCTGGCACCACGACGAAATAGTTTATCAGTGGTGTGGTTTGTCGGTGTAGGTTTGATGTAGCTTTCCAAAAAATAGAGGTCACAACCGTAAAGACTCCGCAGGAGGTCTCTACTGGCGCCCAGCATCACACGTCTATTCATAGTTTTGCTGTTGTGGGACAGACGTGGAATCAGCGTGTTTTGAACATGATAAAGAGGCTCAAAAAGGTAGAAAACATCCTGGTGCTGGTTGAGAAGCTGGCCAACAAAAGACGAGCCACTGCGAGTGGTGGCCAGGACCAGAATGTGCGTTTTTCGCGAAGAATTGAGGGAAAAGTACGGGTAGTCATCGCAGCCTCCATTGCCTGGTGCTCCACGCTCAAAGGACGACTCTGCATCTTGGCTGCCCAGCCCACAGTTCTGGGGACTGGGCAAGGAGCAGAGCTGGAAAGGCTTGGAGGTGAGAGTACGGATTGCAGTGTACTGGATGGCAATGGAGGCCAAGGCCAGGAGAATGACTGCCTTCCAGGAACATTGCATGGCTGAACAAATTCATTTAGACACAATGGTCCATGCCAGGTCCTCCCTGCAAAATAAACAACAGTTTTTTTTTTATCATTGAACCATCAGATGTATGTTTAGTATGTTATTATGTAGAGAGCTTTTTAAAATAATTCATGTACATTCGTAGGGTGCACTTATATTGAATCTCAAATCAATTGATGTCAATTTCATTTGCACGGATGACTCATCAGTAGGCTGCAAATTATGGAGAAAAGTGTATATTAAGGGCTACTACATTTTATTTATTGCACAATACAATATTTGCATCGTATTAGATTACTACTCGTTAAGGGTCAAACTGTTTATTTGATTCAGCAACACATTTTTATGTAAAAGAAAATACATTTTTAAACACCCAACTGTTGTTTATGACTCCCTTTTATATTTAACAATTTCCATGATTCATCCTAGAGTATGGGTGGCATGGAGCTGATTGTGTAAGTAGGAGTTCATATAACCACTCTGGTGTATCTTCATCTGCTCGCTGAGTTTTGAAACTGACTCGTAGTCCACTAATAGTAATTATGTCAGCATACCTGCAGCAAAACCCTAGTCTCTTTCATTGTTTATTCTCCAGTAGGTCTGCATCTAATCGGAGGCCCTTGTTAGGGCCTAATTGATGAATCTGTGCATTGTCTAGTGTTTCATTTGTTCATCAGTGGCAAAACAAACAAACAAACAAACAAAAAACAGTACAACCCAGCTGAGATGGCTATCAGTAGTGTCAATACAAATGTCAATGTGTCAGGAATGACTGATGCTGCCTCCCTAAATTTAGATAAACAGGCAGAGTCGGGATTAGTTATTGTGGTTTCTCGGTATGATCACCATGGCATCATGTTATAAAGCCTTTAAATAAGCAACTGCAACTTGTCAGTGGGACAGAGGTACACACACACAAACATATATAGCCAAGAGCTGTTGCCACCAATATTTACCTGTTGTTTGCTTTATTATTATTATTTCTACCGACTGAAGAAGATGAGTTTGCTTTCCATTTCAAGCTTTTACTTATAGTTCAAACTCAAAGCTTCTACACTGTGGTTTCGGGCTCTTACTGGTGACAGATTCTCCGCGCTGCAGACATCCTCAAAGATGCTGCGATAAGACACACCAGAACACCACGGGAAATGAGATAAACAAAGCCCACGCAGCCGACCTAAACATCACCCTCTGTGATAAAGTCTATATATATATATATAAAAAAAAGAAAGAAAAAAAGAAAGAATTTACTACAGTGCACAAGCATTTGACGTTTACCTTGCTGGTAGTTGCAGTTTATTCATGATGTGCTGCCCTGCCATGGATCACAGTTGGTTTCCCTCAGTCCTCAGCCGCTCTCCACCGTGCGCTTCTTCTCGGACAGTAAGAAGAAAACAAGGCGTCAGGTGGATCCATGTTTCTCCACAAAACGCCTCAATTTCTACTGGACCGTATCTATTACAAACGGATAGTCGAGCTGTGCTAAATCTGAGGCTCTGGTGTGTGTTTTTGCTCAGAAGCAATACCGCAAGAGTGACCGAGGACAGCTGCGTTTGCGACAGCCGGGTTTCCCTCAAAATGATGCGCGGAGGATGCGAATGTGCGGGCAACACAAGGAGCAACTGTCTGGACCAACCCAGAGACCCTCCTCCTTTCCACCTGCTCCTCTCTCTCTCTCTCTCTCTCTCTCTCTCCCTTTCACATACACACACACCGAACGGCAACTATTGTAACTATTGTTCTTACTACTGTGGATCTATTCATTTAAAAATTATTGCCTATATTTTTCCTTAGCAAATCTCTATCTTGATTCTTACTTAAAGGACGGAGTAGGATTCAAAGACATATATATATATATATATATATATATATAGAGAGAGAGAGAGAGAGAGAGAGAGAGAGAGAGAGAGAGATTATTTTGACATTTGACATTTTTATCTTCTCCATTGAGAGAGAGAGACGTCTTCACAGGACACTGGAATCTTTGCACCGCACAAATAACTCTTGTCTCATTTGCTGCTTGGACAAAGACCACCTTTTAAAAAACTGAACATTAAAAAAGGTGTGCCACTTTTTGCTGCAGTTTTTCCTTTCAGTTTAAACCTGTCACGATAACCATCGTCGCCACAAGTCTCTGACTGAACAAAGCCCTGTCTTCAGGGCTTATGGAACCCAGCTATTAAATAAAACTGTTTGACTGATAAATATAACATGTTGTGTGGCAGCAATCATGTGCACGCATGCTTTCCATGAGAAGGGAAACACTCAGCAATTATTTAAGGGAAAAGAAGGAACAGGCCAACATCCTGCTTTCCAGGTCAAAACATTTACTGTACAATTGAGCTGAAGCGTGGGACACGTCCCAGCAAATAAATATAAATTATGAATTCAAGTGCACACAACACAACACAAGATTTGCAGATAGAGACACAAGTAAATGTAGATAGGAACTACAATTGAAAACACAACAAAGATGACATGGTTCTGAATTGGTTTCTATATAATAGAGATAATAAACAGAGGAGAGAGCTGAAATAAGTCATGTTTTGTCAAAACAGAACTTTAAACTTCAAACAATCAGGTGGAAAGTAGGACTTTAAACTGTTAATCCACAAAAACACGAACAAAACATATTGTTCACAGTGACCTTCAAATTTTAACTCCTTGTCGTAACCTTTCTACTGCGCTTAATGGAAAGATGTGTTGATTTAAGTAGTCGTATTCCAGGAAAATAGCTGTACAGAAAATTCAAAGTCTCGTGTCACAAAAATGGACAATATTTCAGAAAATAAATGTCTCAAATTAGGAGCTTGTGTCCTTTTCAGCTCGCCTCCCCTGAGCTCCCCCATAATTCCAACCCTGTTATGAGACAATTATAGCAAGTAGTCGTCACATGCATCTTCATCTGTGTTTACATTTACGGAGTCTTGTTTTCTGACACTTCTAGAAGCTCTGAGGAAATCCCTTGTGCATCGTACTAAACCTGCAGATGAAAGGCTGTCACATGGGTTCATAGCATTGCTGCTGGGGGAACGTTGAGGCAACAACTGTATATATCTGATTACCTGTCATTTCCCAGATGTCGTGAACCCACCGTCTAAAGGCTCCAACAGAGGACACTGCTCCACACTGTAGCGGAGCATACACTGCAGCCTTTAAAAGTGTAATCACACAAGAAGATTGGTCTTGACCAGGCCATGGAGTGATTTGTAGATTCGCCAGGCAACATAATGTGTTGTGTGTGTCTTTTAGGGAGTGTGAGTAGATGCTGGTGCGTCTGGTTTTCTCTCCATCATCTTTACGGCTGAGTGAGGATCATGAGAAAAGCCTGGTATCATGGTTGTAATTTTGTTTCACATCTCAACACTGCAGATGTGAGAGACACAGAGGGAACACTAAAAAAATGACTAGGATTTTGTCGCATTAAAAATTGTATTTGGTCATCCATTCTTTCACCTGGTGTTGCTCTTCTGTGTAGAGCAACTGAATCTGTTCAGTTATCAACAACGAAACAGATGTTTTTTTGTTTTCAACAAAGAAATCTCAGCGGTCAGACATTTGAAATGGTCGCCTTGTAGTTTTCCCACATTAATTTTCATTTCCTTTTCAACTAATATAGTGAAACCACAAATGGTGAAGGTGTCTACTGGCCTTTTGAAATTATAGTTAAAGGTCATTCAAGCAACAAATCCTATATTTGGTGAAATCAGAATAATTATACATGATAGTATTAAATCTTGACTTCTTACAGTATAAGGAGGCCTTGACCTTTCTGTAAGTGTGCACAGAGTCACTGTTCTTTTCTAGCCCAACACACACACACATTCGGACAGCAGAAGGAGATGTTTTTTTTTCCATTACAATATTTGTATTTTCCAAATAAACTAAAGTCCCTGCAGTTCTGATCAGTAAATTACTGTTTGTGAGCTTGACTGGTTTCCTTAATTGCTGTATGGTTAAATGAAATGGATGGTTAATTAACTTAATGTATATGTCGTTGCTTTCGTTTATGCAGGCATGGCTACTAATGCCTTTTGTCTATTTTTTTTATTTCCTAAAAACCTAAAGTGAGACGTGTTGCATCATTACTTGGAACAGTGTTGATGCATCTGCTTAGTATTTACTATAAACCAGAGACATCTCTAATCTGCATTTCTAAACTACTGGCTACAGGGATTATTCTCTCTTGTTAGTGTTGCTTCTGTATCCATCTAAGTATACTTGAAATTTTAACCTAATTCTGGAGGCCGGGAGGTTTTGTTAACCTACAGAACACTGTCATTCTGCTACTTACAGCCCAAAGTATCTTTACATGTACACTATCTATCTAAGGGGCAGGTTTCACAAATTAAGTCACTTTTTATCAAAGTGTGTAACAAAGAAGTTTTTGGTGTCTGAAGTCAAGACCATAAAAAAGCAGCAAAATAAAAACAAGAAAAAGAGTAAAGTATCAACATTCTAATCTATGACTGTGCGAGAAAAAAAACAAAACAAAAACAATATTTTTATACAAGCTGCAGTGATAAGAATTAGAACTGGAATCCGTTCCGAAATGTTAATTGTGCATGATACACCAAAACTAGCTTTCTCGGAGAAGTTATATTTGCATGAAACTATAATATATCACCGACGGCCATAACTGTTAGACATGTTGCTTGTATGAGACCTTAAACTAAAAGAGAAAACGAACATGTCAGGAGTTGTTAGTCTTTATTATGAATGAAGACTAAAATGTAGCAACTACTTTGTAATTTGTTGCTTATATTTTCAAATAATAATAATAAGAAGAATTAGAATTAAAATGTACAATTATTGTCAGAATGTTATATGCATGGCAACACAGTGATTAGTCATTTCTATAGCTGAACTCATAATCAAAGTATTACACAGGTTTTTCCTCTGGTGACTCAAAGGTACTTAAAAAGTCTGCAAAGGTCTTCATTAAAATTTCACCACCTGGCTCAGAAAACTGTGGCCATATTCCATATCTACTCCAACAGCAGCCCCACTATGACTATTATATGCATGCTGTAAACCCAGTGCTGACTGGCTTAAACTATGAATATGATTATTTTCTCTGATTTATCTTCTGGAGCTGTCCTTCCAAATACTCTCCTCTCCCAGCACATGACACGGAACCTCAGTACTTTGATGAATCCTTTTAGTCCTCTGACTGTCATGTAATGTTCTAATGGTGTGCTCAGCTTTTAACCAATGGCTGACTTCTGAAATGACAGACAAAAGTAGCCGTGTCTTATCTATAGCAACTATAATGGAATAAAGCCTTGTGTTCTTTTGAATCTGTTCTCTGACAGATAAGGAGATTGTGTATTACGGAGATAAAAGGAGCCGCATGACAACATGGCTCCACTCAGGGAGTGGCAGATGTACACTATTGTACTGTGTTTTTAATCAACCATTCTCTATTTGAAGACATTGCAGTTTGAATTCTAGATTTATTTACAGGATAAAATACAAGCTGTGCATGTCGTGTCATGTTAGTTAGCCTTCAGCGAGCACTTCCTCATCAACAATTTGGTGATATAATGATACTAGAAGCTGTGGGTACTAATTACCCCAGATGACTGGATAATAAACACATTGATAGTTTTTGGTGTGGCAGAGTGACTACTATACACTGTAAATCTTCAGCTTCATAAAATCTCCACTGTACTCCTCCATCCTTATCAACACACACACACACACACACACACAGGGTACGCACACACTTCTACCACCTGCTCTCTGTTCCAGCACTGTACCACAAACAGCACTGTTCTCGCAAGGCTGGTCTGCCACATGCAAATTCACAGCTTTCACACACACACACACGCACACACACACATACACACAAATATACTCATAGCCACACTTACAGTTTCCTATTCATACTTTAAGTACTGCAATAATGCAGGTGCTATTTGAAATGAAACATTGTTATTTTCTTATAGATGTGTTTTTGTAAACACAGAATCCACCCAAGTCTTAACTGTCTCTGTCCTCTGTCTCTGTCCTCTTTTCAAGGTCAACTTCCACGTGTGTGACTATTTTTGTGCTGGTGGTACGATTCCCTACTTTCACGGCCCTGTCCTTCCTTTTATTCCTGAGTAATATCATCTCAGCTCATTATTCATGAATATATTGATCTTCCTCTCAGCAGCAGCAACAAAGAGCAACAAATATCATTTAAGGGTTGCACCCACAAACACACATACACACACACACATAAGGGGAAGGAGTGAGTGAGTGAGAGAGGGAATGAAAGATGGCCTTGGATGTCAGTTTTTCATTTCATATCCATGTCTGTTGACATTTACTGTAGCGTACTGATGTAGCCGTCACTTCACTTCACATCAACAGACAAAACATCACTAAAATTACAATTAGTCTCTGGTGAGTCTTCACTAATGACAAATAATGTTTAAAGAGTAAGGGTGACCACTAACTAATGCTACTTCAGTTACAATAAAAAGAAAAAAAAATTGAACAATTAGTCAGCAGGTACGGTGAGATTTAGAAACATGTCATATTTGTGATATGTTTGCTTTACAACTATATTTATAAAAACTGTATACTACATGTACTACTATATACAATTAAATAATAAACTACAGAATACTGTAGTGATGAACATAATTAGCAGCTCTCCAAATACAGATAACAGAGGGAGGATAAACAGCTTGATGTATCACCTTCTCGTGGCATTGCACCAAGTGTGAAGAGTGTTGCACAGTTTAACTGACTGACTCCAAATGACATGGAATATAGCAAAGAATGTTCTTCAGAGAATGTGGCCATTATGGTCATCTGTCATGTAGGAGTTACACAACGCCATGATGGTTCTATGAAGAGGTGAATACTCCTGAAACTCCATTAGAGATGATACCAGGGCTATTACTCTTCTATTTCACTCCATCTTCTCTGGGTTAAGTATGGTCAAACTGCCACTTCTGTAGCAGCCCTTAGTAAAAAGATGCTATGGCAAGCCCATTAAGGCTGTGCTGTCCCAGCTCTGGGTGGTTATGAAGTCACTGTGCCGATGCATCAGCAAGACCTCAGTGCCCTCCGATCTGTATCACACCTTGTAATGACAAGTGAACAAATGGTAAAGAATCTCGAGGGACAACGTACTCAGTCCCACAGGGAACCACACAACAGCTCACACTGGTACGTGGGTTCCTTATGTTGCGGGTGAGAAACCACTGGTCTCTTGTGCTGTCGTAGTACTCTATTTTACCAGACGTGTGTGTGAAGGAATGGCCCCCAACAGCATAGATGTAGCCTTTGATCACTTCAAGGCCAAAGTGAGTTCTCGGGGTCTCCATAGACGATATGGAGGTCCAGGTGTTGTTCTGGGGGTTGAAGAACTCAGCACTCCTCAGTGGGCAGTTGTTATCATAGCCACCAATCTGTAGTAGATATAAAAGTAGAACATTTAGGCCTCGTTTAAGACATTTTTTATTTCTAAATGCTCATGTGTCGGTTTTATCTACGTACTGCGTAGACAAATCCAGCATGTGCAACAACTCCGACTCCGCAGCGTCTTTTAAACATAGAGGCTATCATGGTCCATTGGTTTGTCTCTGGATTGTAACATTCAGCTGATCTCAGAACAGCATCCCCATCGTATCCACCACAGATGTAAATCTGAAGAAAAAAGTATAAATCCTTTATTTATATACAACATGCATCTCATTCATGTAAAAAACAAATATTACACGATACACAGTATGTCTAATAATATTCAAAATACAAGTTTTATAGAATGAAAAATTATATATTAAAAGAGTTACATGGAGATGGTGATTAAACATGACTTTAATAAAAGATAAAATGAAAAATTGCATTTATTGAAAAAGAAAGCCAACGACAATCTACCCTGCTCTCAACATCGACTGAAAAATCAATCACCTATAATGTAATGGGAGTGACATAGTGCAGTTTGTTTATGTGTTTACACACTGACTCTATACATTCTGTTAATATTTCCTCATTTCTATAACTTCACACACCTTGTCATGCAGTGTGGCACAGCTGGCTTGGCTCCTCCTGAGGCTCATGGGTGCAATTCGGCTCCACTTGTTGGATCGGGGCTCGTAACGCTCAGCACTGCTGAGGCGAGTGTGGCCATCATAGCCTCCTATGGCATAGATGTAGCCGCTCAGCACTGTGACACTCACGTACCCACGGCAGTAATGCATTGGGGAAACTTCGTGCCAGGCGTGTGTTTTCAGGTCGAACCTGCTCATATTGCTATAATACATCACCAAGTCATAACCTCCGATAATGTAGACATATCCATCAAGGAAAGCTGTGCCGTGATAGCCCCGAGAATGGTCGAAAGTCTTTACCACACTGACCCACTGGTCAGCACTAACATCGTAAGCCGCAATTCCTTCAAAACCATTATTATCCTTAGATCCAATAACGGTCAGTAAGCTCACACTGGGCAGGCGAGGTCGAGCAGGAGGGTTGCGGACGGCCAGTGGGAAGTTTTCTAGTCTCATGCTCTGAATGAAATGCACAGCGTCCTCAACAATCTGCTTGCAATCAGGGTTGTTTTTCACCAGTTTGTTGGTTTCCACATGTGTGCTGATGTATGACATGCTGGACAAGGCCATGCGGAACTAAACACAGAAGAGAAAAAATATTTATTACAACAGTATAATAGTTGATTGAGTCAATGAATCATTTATTTTTCTAGCTGCTTCCTGTGGCAGGATGTAGCAGTTATTTTTAATTCTAAACATTTGCAATTCAAAAAAACAGAACAAGAAAAATTTTAACCTGAGGGAGAAGTAAAACAATGTGCTGCTGTCGTTCTTCAGGTTTGTGCTCAATCCAGTGAAGGATGGCTTCAAACACACTGCTCTCCTGCTTTACGTTGAGTTCATCTCTACCAAGGATTTCTGTGAGCTCCTGCACACTGAGCAGTTGGAACTCCTCTGTCGGAACCACCTCCTCAAAATGATCAGTGATGTAGAGCAAGGAATTTCGTTGCAGCTCAGAGCTGAAGCAGACCTTTGTGAACTGCCAGATACCAATGCAGTTTTCCGGGCTCAGCTGCTCACAGAGGAAGTTCGAACAGGTGTGGACCACGCCCAGTACGTCGAGCATATTAGCTGCTAGCATCAGCTCCCTAACGTTGTCCTGTGTCACCGTGACAGAACCAGTGTACGCAAACTCAATTATGAGTCGCATTGTGTCAGGAGACAGACCATCGATGTCGTAATCCAGTGAGTCTTTAGTTGACTGGCAATCAAAGAGAGAGCTGAGTGTCAAGATAGAGGCACAGCAGAAAGGAAAAAAAATAAATATCCAAGCTGCTGATGAAACACCGTCTGCAGCAGTAACAAAACAAATAAGGTACATTCTAGTCGGAAAATGTGATGAAATAAAACAGATGTTACAGCATAGACACTGGAAATCAGCTAACAAAATAGTTTAACAGATACTATGTCATGACTGTCAGACCCTAGGAGAACAGCCAGGTTACAAGCTCAGGTTACTAATTCTAGATAACATGTATTTCTAAGTTTACGTGTAGTAGCCAATCATATGTCTGACAGGAGAGTAGTGAATGTATGACAGTTGGTCGTATCCTGCCATATGTTTTATCAACCACTCATAAACATTAGAAGTAATAAAACAGCAATAACTGTAATAAATGTAATATATATACAGTATCAATCTATTTATCTATCTATGTATGTATATATATATATACCTTTTGCTCCTGACTTTTAACAAACCTACCGAAAGTAAGAACTGCAGTCACAGAGGATGATCCTGTGGATTTTAAATTCCACATTATCCACCCGGATGACAGCATCACAGTATCTACCCTGGAGACGGAATTCGTTGAACTGTGAGCTTTTTTTGGGGAAGGTTATCAGTTGGTAGTTCATCTTAAATTCTCAGAGCATGTGAAACTCCGCCTCTGTCTGCTGCCGTGTGTCAGTGTCTGAACACTGGTGGTTTAGTACGTCAGTTGGCATTTGTAATTTTGCATCAATGCCTTCTTTTCCTTCTGTACCTGTAGGATTTATGGCAGTTGTGAGAACTGCCACTTTATGGTCACGAAGTTTTCATCTTGGCCACATTAATGGCTTTTGATGGATTTAACCATCCATCACAATATTGTTCTTCTGGTGTTTCTGTCCTTTTTTTCCTTTTTTCTTCCTTGTTTCATCATCAAACCTGCTTAGAAACTTTGATGTTTATTTTAGAACTGTGTGAGGTACATTATGTCAACTAAAACAGAAGGACTTTATCTGGACAGAGAGAAACACGGGTATGACACAACAAATACAGAATAGTCAACATTTTACCGCAACATCGAACTACAAAACTCATGAATTAAATGGAAATGATCTGCTCTCCAGCGAGTACATTATTTTTGTGATGCACTGTTTCACTATTTTCTCCTCTTTCTATCCTACAACAAAAATACAGTATTGATGATGTTGATGAAAACCATCTGTTAGTGCTACAAATTTACAGAGAGAAGAAGTGCTGACCTTCTGCCTTTGATCTGACAGCAACTGTGCAACATCTGTCCTGGTTTGTTGGTTGGTTTTCACTGGGGCATATTGTTGGGAAAAAAATGTAAATGTGTATATAGAATGCAAAAATATATAATAATATATAGTGTTTTAATATATATATATGTTATATGAGGTGTCACAAAATATATATAAAGTCATCAAAGTTCTGCCAGTTATTGTTACATTGTAGGAAACGTCTTTGTTGTTGCAGAGGAAGTTCAGCTCTCTCTAAAATTTCAAAATAAATGGTCACATTTCTACTGTTTGATATACACTGTGGTTCTAAATGCTAATACATTAAAGGTGGTCCTTAGTGGGAGCCAACGATCAGTGCTTAGGGAGTGAAGCTGGGCTTTAAGCCGGGCACGATGTTTAGCTGAAGTGTTTGAAAAGCTAGGCTAATTTTTATTGACAGCACACTTGTCATCAGTCCCACAGTATGTGACGTTCATGAGTGAAGCCTATAAACAAACTGCAGCTTGTCTTGGTGTTTTATTAGAAGAAATGTTCAAGTACATCATGTATAAATGCCCAGACCATAACAGTCTGAAGTTTCCCTTTTTTTTTTGTACCAGTGGAAGGATATTGACTGGGCTGTCAGTAATAAAGGGGGGGGGGGGGGGGGGGGGGGGGCGAGGGTGGGTGTTT